ATTAAACATAATGAGGGTCATCAAATGCCGGCAAGACACCGCTTGTAGACCCCTCCGCTGAGAGCTTCTCACATGTGACACCATAACAACTACATGTAAATGAGGCCAGCAGGAATGTAAGTTGAACCAAATGTACTGTGTTAGGTCAGATGAAACTTTAACAATCCCTGTGGGTCATTTCAGCAAACAGAACTGAGCATCAAAGCTAAATACAACACAACAAGTAATCAGACTGCAAGTTCAGAGTATAGATCAGATAAATAAATGAAGGTTATAAACACATAACTGAAGCAGATGTTTTCACACATCATTTCACACTTTCACAAGTTCTGGTTTTCAGTAACTCAATTACGTTCATAGTAATGTTTATTAATGTGGTCTGTTCATGTAAATAAATCAAATAGTGGTTTATGTTCAATATTGGGCTTCAAATGACGTTATCCAACAAAAACTCTAATCTCCACGTGCCTAAACAAAACCAGAATAATGTTTAGTAATGCTTTAGTTGCGACGAGCGGATGGTGTCTGAGAACATTTTGCAGATCTGCTGTTGAAAGTCTGTAATGGATGAACATATTTTCTTGGAGACAGGGTTGGAAAAAATGTGAGCATGCAAGCATTTGTTCACATAGAGTGAGACATGCACTGAATATTTTGGTATTATTCAGCACCATATGCCTGAACCAGTCTACATTTTTAAATATTTATTCAAATCACTCGTGTTTGGGGATGTGACTGGTAGAAATCTACAAAACTGCAAAACAGTCTTAAATAGAAAATACACCAATGTGTGAAGAGAAACTGGAAAAAAGCAAGTAATTTATTCACACAAATAAAACCTGGTTGAGTTTGAGGAGACTCTAAGGCCACATATGGCTTTGACAGCCTGTTAACACTATGAAAGTACGCCCCAAAGCTGTAATTTAATTTAATAAGAAGAAATATGTCTGGTAAAGTGATGTGTGGAGGTGTGCTTGAACTGAGATGCGATGACAGACAGATTCTGTGAAGAGTGTAATTATACACACATCACTCTACAGTCGGTTCAAGGCTATTAAAAGTCAGCTGATGGTAAGAGTAATGGCTGCACACTGGATTCACTCCCAGTTTCTGTTTTTACTTTGACCATTTGACATTGGGGAAACCAGCGTGGACTCAAACATGGTCTGCCTTGTGGTCGCATGATGGGAACTGGTGTTTGAGGTAGAATAAAGTGCTTTAGTGATTTGTGGGTGTGTGGTTGAGCGGATGGAAGAGCTCGCACAGCTTCCACAGCGAGAGAGAGATTACACTTAAATATTCCATGAAAGTGCTGCAGTAGGACGGCGTTGTTTGAACCGAGAAACTCGTTGAACAAATAATTTTATTCATGCATTGACTTTTCCACTACAGTTGGAAAAAATCACAGAGCTACTTCTTGGTTTTGCGAATGTTGGTCAATAACGTTGTTCTGCCTGGTGTCGAGCCTCGGGCCCTTTTTACACATTTGTTACAGCACAACTGACAAAATTATTTAGTTTCAGTGCTGCAGCTATCGATGGATAACAATGATTAATGGAGTGCAGGGAAAATATCACAAACCACTCCACTTTCACAGTGTATCATTAACATCAGTGCAGACTGGTTCGAATGATGCCCTCTGGAAGGTACTGCACCTTCACGTTGCTATTTCAGTTGTTTTCTCTGCTTCTCGGCAGCTGTGAGGCTGATCATTTCAGCATTTCACTGGTAATTCAGCTCCCCCACGTGCTCTCAAAATAATCTTTAAAAATCAGCTCAATGAACCAGGAGTTTAAGTTCCTCTTTCTAAGGTAACACTGACACTGTCATTTACATATAACAGGTTTCTGCACAACCGTGTGAGACTCCGCTGTGCGCTGTTGCACAGTAATTGTCACCATTGTGTTGTTCCCATTCATGAATCAGCTTTTGTGGAGGCCTCGCACAGATCCAACACAAAACATATTTTCATACCAATCTTGACAGAAGTATGTTCGACAAAAACAGCTTTACTCGAGACTTTACCCGCCTTTTTCCAGAGCTTACGTTTCCTTCATTCTTGACCTTAGGCAACAGTGTGTGCAACCGAATAATCTCAAACCTCAAAGATCCAAGAACTAGCTGTTCTGAGCTTGCTGGTCTTCTTCACCGAATGATTGAAAGTTAGTGAGTTCAGATCACTTCATTAGACTTCCAGACCCTCTTTTGCTTTTGCTCCTGCTGCTTATATCAAATCCTGAATTCTAACAAATCTCTTACTGTGTGTTATTGTCATCCTCAAAGCTTCTGATTGTCACTTCATGTTCAGCACATGTAAGGCTCTGTGCACATAACACAACACACGCATGCAACAGAACTGATTTCACCTGTGCCATCACTGTTACCATAATGAACAGTTGGTACCTAATAAGACAGAAGTGGCTGAAAACCAAACAAACATGAATCCTCACATCAGCCAAAGTCTGACATTGAAGGTAATTAAACCTGAATGTATTAGACACAGTGTTGAATTGTCAATGTAAAGCATTTCTTCACCCTCACACGCCAAACTCTGCAGTTTTACAACCATCTTGAGTTGTTTAATGACGTGAACACCTCCTACCATCCATCCTGTATGACGCGGACTAGCAGTGCCCGAGTGCAGGAGGGTGAGAGGGCTTCAAACAACAGGAATGTGTTTGCACTTTCATGTTACCTGAACACTTTCTGTGGACAGTGCCGTGTGAGGCTCATCTTTCACACTGAAATATGAAAGTGTTTATTGTTTTGCTCTCTGAAAACAGAACCGTTGGAGCAAACAGACAGACATCCTCATGAGGTTAGCAACGTGTGTTTATACTTATACCAGGAAAACTTTGTCTCACCAGCTTCTTTTTTTTTTTTTTTACGATGTGGAATTACACATGTCATCGCTGTTTTAACGTCTCACAGCGTTACGCATTGTGGCTTATTCCCTCGAGCAAAGTCTGCAAACTAGCAGACTTAATGGAAAGTGTGCATAAAGAGCTCCTAACGTTGAACCAGAGCACTCAAACAGCCCGCGGCCTTCACAGACTTAGCGGGAGAGTGCGTCTAAAGTCTGTGAGTGTGTAACAGGGGACAATGTGTGCCTGAGTGCTGCTCCTCAGCTGGTGACTCCAGGTTTAAAGCGTGTAAGTTAATAATGTTATAAGCTAAAAAAGGT